ACGTGGTGCAGAGTCGTCTGGGTGCGTTCGACGAGGGATATGCGGATGTCGCTGATGCCAAACGCAGCCTTGTGCGGCGACGTGATATGATAGTAAATGACCGACATGAGCGTCAGATTGATATCGTCCTTGGTCATGCGCACTTGACGCGGCACCTCAGCAATCTTAATCTTGACATCGATTTGGAAGATTTTCTCGCTCAGCGTATTGACCTTGACAAGCCCCGGGTCCACGACACGAGAGAAGCGGGCGAACTTGGAGACAAGGCCCATATTTCCTTACGCGACTATGCGATGGTGAGTTCAAAGATCGTTTGATATGGAATTCTGGATGAGTGCATACCACCGCGATATGAATAGGGAAAGCAGATACAGCCTGAGATCACGCCCAAAATGCCGATTATGTTTCCAACAGTATCGATAATGGCTCCATACCATCTGTGTTGCTCCTCTTCTTTCTCGTTTGGTTGGATTATTCTCGCATAAGAAGGCTGAAGGCCTTCCTGTCGTGGAGGAGCGACATTTACAAGCGGCTGAGGCCCATCATAGTTAGTCTGGGAGGCCTTATCGTTGGTGGTGGATGTCGTAGCTTCAGTGTCCATACTTGTGTTTATTTTATGCTTCAGATTGTTGTGAATACGTCGTGTGTGTGGTGGAAACGTGCAGCACGATGCATTTAAGGTAGGCAGGGAAATGCGTTACTCATCAGGAATAAGCTACGTGATCATTCGTGTGACCTGTCAAGGTGATTAACCGGATTACTTAAGGCGGCGCAGTTCGAACTCCCCCCTCGTCGACCGATCATGCTTGAGTGCTACAGCTCAGCCTCCGCGCCACCTTGCAGAGCCACAGGTTTTCATTGCGCCGCCTGTTATAAATGGCCTATATGACTATTCATGATCTGATTAACCCCTCCGCTATGGGCTGAGGGCTATCTGTGTACTGATGAGCTCCAGATCTGTAGCGCCTGGATTAGTGTCGCGCGTGCGTACACTTTAAACGTGCGCCAGGACAAGAGGCCTGGCATGTAGCAGCTTCATGAATGAAGGCCAGTCTCTAATTTCTCTTATGGTATATAATCACCACTTCACTGACACCAAATGTGCAATGTCTTTCATTCGAGCTAACCAACAGCAATATGCTTCAAACCAGATTGTATCATATTTCCTGTTGCATTTGATACGTCCGAACACCCTTGGGATATGACATCCACGCTTGATGCCTTGTGCAAACTGCAAGGGGTTGCTTTTACGTCGTACGAAGAGCCCGACCTTGGAAACAAGTGCCAAAGAACAAACAATCCCAGACTAAGACAGCAAAATCTCGACCAGAGGATTACACGACAGAATGAGGCAGCGCTCACCTCTCGGTTGGCGGCTGCACCGGGCCCAGGGGGCAGGAAATGATGCCATCAGGACATGACGTGGCAATATGGCATTGGCTCATCTGCTGATGCATGGACAGTAGGTAGATATCGTGGAAATTATGTAGGGTATGGAGGCAGGTCTTTGAATGTGGCGCTCAACCATAATTGGTCGACAAGAAGGGTGAGTCCAACCCACGCCACTTTGGGTGGTTCGGTTAATCACCCTGATATCAGCAGAGTACCATCGCTTCCAAAATTTACATGTCGGTACCATGCCAGCTTCAGTTTGAATGTCATATGGAAAGCATCTTATTGTGCCAAATTTTTGATAAGTGGTCCTGTTGTGGAAATATGGGCCAAGAGGGTGATTGCGTTGACTATGTGAGCCGCTGTCTCAGGCCGTCATGGATGAAATAACCACCACGATGCAATGCCAGGCAGTAAACAAGGAAGCAGCTCTCACAGAATCTTGTCTTAACGCCATTTCTCTACTCCATCTTTGAAAACTTTTAATTCTCAAAGTGCGGAGAGCAGCGTATCTACAAAATTGCCCATGATGCACCTAGGGATGATTTTGATCTTGTAGTTTTTATCTCATCTAGCCAGGCCGAAGACAACATAGATTCCTTCCAAATCCATAAGAAAGTTCACAACCAACATAGTGATAAAAGTGAGCCCCTGTATGGACCAACATGAGAATATTTGGCCTATCTTGTGGTTTCGGAGATAACAAGGCTGTCAGGAAGGACAAATACCAGGGCGATACATTTGGGTGATCAGCCAAAGCTCTTTCAATCGTCTCCTCGTTGTATTCCCTGCATCGATTGTCGAAGCCCCGAACGGTTGCCACAGAGAACACGACGGCACCGAAACAATAGATATCGGCTTGAGGAAGACAGCAAGATGCAGTAACCTCCCTCGATTGTGCAAACTCCGGGGGCACATAACCATGTGTGCCTATATAGGTCGGAAAATCGTAGCTAAATCTTGTCTGGCCGAAATCGCCAAGAACGATCCGTGGCAGCTGATGGGGACTGTGTCTCCAGTCCAAAAAAATGTTGTCTGGCTTTATATTGCCATGGATGAGAGAAGAGTTGCTGAACGGGCGCAGATTTGGGTTGCATATGTCCCGAATGCCGAGTTGGATGTAAGCCAGAGCCGATATAAGCGATGCAACTAGATGTTCAAGGAAAAGCGGTGGCGCGGCGTGGCCCGATTGGTGCCAGCTTATAAGCAGGTCGGATAAATCACCGCCAGAGCAGTACTCCATGAAGATGTAATAGTTGGGGGCTTGGTACCAGAAGGCACTCATGAAGTTGAGATTTGGGTGCCACGCGGACAAAGGTCCACGGAGAATCCTCATTTCCATGGGGATGTCGACCAAGCTTCCGTCGCATACTTGTTGCAGTTTCTTCACAGCATAGACTTCAGCATTCCTGCGGACGACGATGATCTCAGTGCTGGGTCCTGAGATAGTGCTCTGAAGTTCCAACCCATCAAACCAGGAAGACATGTTTGGAGTGCAGTATCGATGCAGATAGGTGTGTGCAGATGGATGTGTAGAGATGAAATGGTGAAGGCGAAATTACGGAGATGGTGGGATCAAATACCCTGCGCAACGTGAGTCATTAGATTTTACTCGGTTGTTAGATTTGACTGTCCAAATACCAAGAGCCTAAATTGCACTAGGCCATGTGAAGCTTCAAAACCCAGACTATTTTATGTTACGGTCTGTAACTGAAGATGCAAGGAATTGGAAAAGGTTGACGCGCAGAAATTCTCAAAGGGTGGAATCTTTGCACCAGACACCCACCATTTCGTAGATATGTTTTCGCGTTTCCAATCCACTGTACCCACTGGTGACGAGAAAGTTCATCGTCAACATGCCTAATTAAGTCTAGCTCCCCGTTTGGGCCTATCAGACAGCTGAACAGCGGAGTATAATAATGTGGTCAAAGTGGGGAACTAGGCTCAATCGGGCATGCTGGCGATGGACTTTGCGTCTCCGGTGAGTGGATTATTTGACACGTGCAACAGCAATGCAATCTCCACTCCTCTCCACTCCAACATCAGAGTCATGGAAAGACAAAATGTCCACTATTTCATCCAAGTGATAGCTTTCATGTTGTTTTCTCCAATATAGGGATGTTCAAAGCATGTTGCTCGGTTTTTGAGCCTGACAATTGGCGCCCCGATCAACTTTGGCTTGGAAAAAGGCGTTCAGAAAAGCTCCTACTGTTGCCCTAGAAATGGGTCAGGGGCATTGGCAAGTGATAATCTAGCCAGATTCATGACGAAGGAAATGTCAACAGTATGATCCCTGATCGATTTGAGTTTGTTACATTTTACGTCTTTCTTGACCGCTAGATAGCGGAATTATACCTCACTGTTAGGTATATCCTAATTGCGGTTTCTCGTCTCCAAAATTGTGTGCATTTCCTACCAGACGCAGTCGACATGCTCGAATCGCCTCGAGCAGCTGCCGCCGATTACTGATGAATTTGAAGCTTGTGTGCCCCAGGAAGACCTATATTAATGCCTTAAGCCCGTGTGCCTCAGGAAACACTGGAATGCCTCGGGAAGTGCTGGAATACCTCAGCACTGTCTTATACGCAGTCCCCAAGTACCCCAAGTACCCCCATGACGTGGATTCCCCCATTTACTGCTTAACGAGTGCTTCCGGTCCTCCGTACAATGGTGAAAGTGGCCCCGTGCCTTTTCAGCACCGCGCAAGCAGCGCAGGCGCATTTGCATGATTGAAGAGGCCATTATGTTTTCAGAAGTCGCCATGGCCGATTCTGACAATTGCAAGATGGGATGGGATGAAGCGGAAATGTTTTAGGTCCTCGAGCGGTTTTGCCGAGATGACGCCGCCCAGGGATTATTATGACTGTATGGCATTACCTGCATACCATGTACGCAGAGGCCTCTCATGCTGCGCATTTGACGTGGGCAACCGATGGTTGTCAAGGGCTCGGTGCCCATAGGTATGGCCCTGTCTCGGGCATCAGCCACGGACGATGGTAAGTGACTGAGGGGCTGCCCAGCCTCGGGCCTGCATGAACCCTCGTCCACCTACTAATAGATACCGTGGGCAGAATGATGGAAATCGGGATGAGTGTGACGCTTGAAAAACGTCTACTACACTCGTATGTGATGGCTAAGATGCCATTCTCATAACCTTTCAACGTTCATCACATAACTCGGCCGGTGCAATGTCTACGTTCTCTCTATCTAGCCACGTACGTCTCCAGCTTGTCTTGGAGTTTACAAAAAACAGTGGCGGTAGATAATTAAACCAGGCGAGAACCATGGAACACGCATGATCAGCCTATTAGTAGGCAAATGGAATCGATAAGCAAAACCTGGGAAATAGCAAGCAAGGAGACAATTGTGTTTTAGGTTCAGTGTGAACTCTCTTATCAAGACAGTATGTATTGTGCGCTCGACGAAGTGTTTGAATGTTGCAGTGTCTTGTTGTTGTCAAATATTTACATTGGAGATTGTGTGGAGAATTGGCAATTTCGGCGGGCCGTGACATTTTGCAATGTCGCTCCACTAGTGATGACTCATCACATGCGCGAATTTCTCAATGGCCAATGGGCAAGCAGCTGAGAATCATGAGAAGCAAAATTTGCGTCCGCCGAGACTCGAACTCGGTCCTCGAGCATATCAAATTGTACAATGGGAAGCTCGAATTCTACCCTTAAACTACGAACGCAATTTGACGAATTTGATTGTTGAATGTTTATAAATGACTTGGCGTAATTGTCTTTCATCCAGCAAAAGAAACACACCGTGCGTGGTGGTGTATGAGGGGCTTCTCTGAAAACTGTCATGTCATACACCACTGAACTTGAGGCATGGGAGTTCGGGGTCTCGCCAATAGCCTATAGCTACTCTTCTAGGACACTGGAAAGACGGGCTGATAAAACTCCGTGAACACACCAGTGCACAAAAGAATGGCTTCCATCTGAGGGCGCCTCCAGACCCATAACCCACTATCACTAAGGGCACCACAAGAAAAGCATTGCTGCATGAAACAAGCAATGCTGCCTCAAAGGGACAGTACTGTCGGACGACTCTATCCACAATGCAACTTCGAAGGGAACCAAACAAATGCCAACTAAGTAACGTATGTTGAGATCGACCATCAGAAGCCTTTTCAGCTGCTGGAAAATTTGAAGGCCGTACCTAAATGTAATTCCGGCAATAAAAAACGCCCCTTGCGGAGTAGAATTTTCTTTGTTGCCCTCTTTCCCAGATCACGAAGTCCAATCAGTTGGATGCACAGTTGACGCACCAGCGCTGGCAGATGCTCCAGTCGGGCTACAGAGAAATCTTTCTTCGATCCCTTTTGCTGAGCTATGATCCGTGCACGATCGCACTGTCGCGTGGAGATAAGTTTGGGGTTGATACGGAAATGCAGTCCTGCCTCTTCATAAGTTGCATACCGCTTGCTAAGACCGGATTGTGGCTGGCCACGCCGACTTCTTGCCCTACTACCACGTACAGTGGATGCGCCGCTGTCGGTCATGCGCTTATTCGCCAGGTACCGAAATACTTGCATCTTCTTCTCACAGGTGTAGCTATTGCGCGTTTTCTCGGACTCGGGACTACGTGTTTTATTGGGCGGTACTGATGCTACCGTCTTTGTGGCGGTCGGAAGTACAGCTGTAAGTAGATTGGCGTGTTTTCACTGCCTCACACCCGGCGGCAACCAATAGACCCAGTGATGTGCACAGTACATAGGCCACCAGCTCCTCTTTGCAGTCGGTCTGGTTAGCCAGCCCCTTTACCGTGGACTAAACCTGTCCAGCCAGGTAGTGGGCCACTTGGTAAGCTCTAGCCACAAGGAGATCTGGCATCCGACGCCTTTGGCCTGTGCTGAATCGGGCGCTACCTCGATCTGGTCAAGCTGCTGACCGAATGCAGTCAGTAGGTCGTCTGCAGCCTCATCTTCAGTGGTCTTGATTGCGTACTTGTCCAGCTCCGGCAAGATTTGCTGAAAGTTTTAGCAGACTCCCATGAAACTGGAAATGCTGCTTCTCTGGGCCTTTCCCAAGCACCTGATATACCTTTCTATGTGGGCCTCATAAAATGGGCCGAGCTTGTTGTAAAAAGTGAACGCGTAACTTTGGGAGCCGTGGAGCCATGACTTGAAGCCTGCGTTTCCACCTTCCCCTGGGAAGTGGTGGCGTTGCCGAGATGACGAACTTGGTTTGTCCACGTCTTGACTCAGAGCACATTATGGGGCCACCACTCTCTTTAGAGGTATCTCACCAGCGTTAGCCAGTTTTCCGGGGTGTCGGAGTCCTCTTCGCGGTCTCAGCTCACATGCTTGATAAAATGCAGCGGACGTTGGGGCTTCGATGAATTCGTCGTAAGGAATCATAAACTCTTGATCAGCCGCGCTCAAGCTATACCGGTATCTCCCTTCCTCGAGCTGCATGTTCTTTTCACCGTTTGATCAGATGTAGTGTGGTTCGCGCAAAGGCTAACCAGGCACCAAGCCATACGGCTGAAGGATGAATGGATACTATTATCATGGCATTTCTTGTGCACGAGTACCCATTGTGGTAAGAGGTTACCGTGGCCATAAGCTTGTCCTCTAAAGATATCTGGCGGTGATATTGGAAATTTGTGTGCCAAAGGCTCATGATCTCGGTTTCAGGAGTCGGTTGCCCAGGGGTGAAGGATCGCTTGTCCAGGAAATAAATCTTACAGAGCGTTCAATGCATCTCTGTCATGGTCGTGGAAGATCGCGGCTGGTTTGAAGATGTTTGCAGATCCTGGTGGTCGGTAACGATTCCGAGCGCGCCGGGCGCCATTCTTCCAAGGCCATAAAAATCTCCAAAGGCTACTTATCATATATCTCGTAATTGCATTCTGCGGTGGAATTTGCCCCGCGGTCGACACGCACTCCACCATACTCACTCACTCCCTATTCCGGGGCGCTGAGACGGTCGTGTGATTTCTCTTCACAATTGTCAAGGCGACTGCATTGCTGCAAACCCCCAAGCCGAGCCCTTGCTTGTCCATATTGCACACATCTTCTCTGTGAATTTGTTTCCGTTCATGGCAGCCTCACCGTAAGAATGGCATCGATGGAGAATAACAGGGGGCTAACCTAGAAAATGTCCTTAAAGGCCATTAGCTAAAAGCAGTGGGCGTCGGCGGTGCTGGTTGTCCGGGTGGTAAAAGAAGAACACCCCAAAAGCATAGTCAATGACTTGAAGCAAATTTTTGCTTCGAGTTGGTGGTAAACAAGCGACCCAAATGACAGTTCGGAACGCATTCATCCAATTTTTTTAAGGGGCCAGTTATCGCAGTCCGCCTGCGAGATCCTACAGGCTATTTCTTGCTCGCGCGCATGCGTGGGCGCATGTCCACAGCTGCTCTCATCTATTATCCACTCTGCACAAGACAGTACAGATCTGTAAAAGCCAGCAGGGTGTTGGAAGATAGATGTTGCGTTGCGTAATCTTTTTGAAGATTGAGTTGTTCGAATTGTTATTTTCTGCTGTTCATCAGCGAGCTTATAGGTATCAAATCAATGAAATACCGTACTCACTCGAGACGAAGGGTTTATTACTAGCGCGCCTAGTTGAATTTAGTTCTATACTCCGACCGATCAGACAGCGCTGTCACTTTCCCACCAACCTAGTATAGGTATGGTGTGGGAAAGAGCGCCGATGGCGGCCCCCGAAGAGAGCAGTCTGATTGGCTGAGATGCGGGACTAAACTTGAACAGGCACGCTAGCGATAAACCCTTCATCTCAAGTGAGTACGATACGAGGCGTTTTGAAAGAGCCGGTGTAGTTGCAAGACAGGGTAGCAGAGATGACCGGGTTATGAGCTACTTCCTCACTGGCATCTTCAAAGCCTTTGTATCCATGGAACTCAATGCTAAACTGTAGACCCAACTATCGGGGCTGTCGAACCAGGCACGCACCATTTCTTTCCACTCCTTCGTACTGATTGTCGCTACTCCCATCCCTCTCTGACGCACCTCCACCTTGGCTTTGGCTGCCATTTGCAACAATTTAATCTCTCGGCTTGAGAGTGTCCGTGGCCTGGTATACGGGGCCTGTTTATCTGCCTGCTTGCGAAGTGGCACTAATGGAGAGCCGGGGTCCGGCTTGAGAAGAACCAGTATCCGCGTTAACTCTGGAAGTTTGCCAAGGGCTCCACGGAAGAATCTTCCAAAAAAAAGTTGAAAGTTTTCTGGCGTGTCGTGGCCCGTAACTACCAGGCGGCATAGGACGAGCTTTATGATATCTTGAGGTGTGAAATCGTCGGCTACGGAGCTTGGCATCGGCAATGCCATTCCTAATGCTTCTCCCAACACGCAAGCTTCTGGAATGTTCGGTGCTTTGTTTAGATAATGTAAGTACGCCTCGGCCACAGCTTTGGAGTTCTTGCATTCGTATCGATGCGAAGACCAGTGGGATCTTTGACACGCCTTGGAGCAATATCTGACATTCAGACAACGCGCACAACACTTGAACACTTCATGGGGATACTCCTCAACCAAACAATGCGCACATGTGACCTGCGCATTTTGTTTATCCTGCCATTCTTGAACAACACCATCGTTAAACTCTTCCCAGCTACGCTGGAGCGTTTTGATCTCTGCTGGGTGACATCTCCCGATTGATTGTAACTCTCGTGGGGCTTCATATTTGCGAAGAATGTTCTCAATGCGGTTTGAAAGCTGGGTGTTCTCCATTGTTGACCACGTCCAGGGTCCATACGCGGTATCGGCTGCCTCATAAAGGTTCTTGAATGCTCGAAGCAAGCGCTCCGCGGCCTCTTTGGCTGGGTCAAGCCCTGCCGAAGACATAACTTCCTCGGGGCCGGCCACGCAAAATGCTTCGCCCTTGAAGTGTAGGGCGTAAGCATAATTGTGATCTTTGAATCCCTTAAAGATGCCAAATATCCAGTGATTGGGCATACTATGGCTGGGTAAGTCAGTTTACAAGCATTGCAATTTTTTGCTTACCCGCTCGATGTAGTTCTTGGCCGTGGAATGGCTTTGAACTTTGCCATCAAAGCGTCCATGATGCCAGAAGTTTACGCCAAATTTGATCAGGTTTACCTTTGTTTTTAGATGGGAATTGACTGGGTGTACTAAGACTATGACTAAGGCAAGAGCCTTGATAAGCATTTCAAGCTGATCGTGACTGCAATATACAGTTCCTAGCGTGATGAAAGCTTGGGCATGGTAGTTGACCGAATGCCGAGGTTGTTACATGCAACACAGAGGGCTTCATCCGTTGTGGCTGCTCAATATGATCGGGAGAGGCATGACGGTCGAGTTGCACGTTACCCTAAATTGCAGAGGATGCTGGGCTGGCAACGCAATATGAGACTCTAGGTTCGGGTCCGAGTTCGCTTGAGAGACTGACACACCAAAAACGCCGAATTCATAGTGACGTGGGCAATGTGTACGGAATAATCGACGAGTCATCCCCAAGACATGCCGGCGACTATGTAGATTGATGAGCTACAACGTTACAAGCAGTGCATTGCTACAAGCAACTCATTGCACATCCGAGGGGCTCGATTACGCTCGAGGTTTCCGTTCCAGATCGCTGGCTTCGAGATGTTGGCATATCGTGCTCTCGGTACTGGCATGAGACTAACACTAGATTGGCTGTCACAGAGCATCGCAGCAGGTATTCTTTAGATACATCGGATCGTGTTGATGTGCCGAGC